GCACAGCTAGCTAATGATCAACGGACTTCGAAATGCCTGGATCTGCACAAAAATATACAGAAGTGTAGTGTGAGTAGACCACAGCGGTACCCAGCAAGTATCAAGACTAATCTCAGTAGAGTAGTGACGAGTAACAGTCAAGACACCTACTGGACTAAATAACCTAAACAAGTATAAGTATAGGAACAACCGAGTATAATTCTACATAAAGACTACGCGAAGTGGCAAATAATACGGAAATTTCAGTAAGGAAGGAAAACAACAACTATCAACGGAACACCATAATAATGACATAGAAGGATGAACGCAAACACAACCTAAATCCGATAATCACAGATAAAGAAAGGACAAGTAACAACTCAACAAAATGACCACTTTCACACCAGGTTTTAGTCAATAGACTCCATGAGGTACCAAACCTCAGACTACTCACCACTCACGGGTCCCTATACCTGAACCCTAATAATTGGCATCTTGTGCCCACTTTATAACCGCACTGATGACTCACATGCCAAATAGAGCCATTCTCACATAGAAGGAAAGTAAACAAAGGTGTGCATCTATACTCAACAATATCAAGAAAATCTCTTAACCGATAAGAGTACTTAACTACGTGTATGCTTGTGTAAATGTCCTAACATAGTTCATGCCAGCTAGTAAGTATAGGAAAAGAAATGGACAGCACGTAGGATGTTTTCTCACAACTTTTCACAAGATAAAGCTCACACAGGTAAGTGTACCACTACACAAATATCAACCACAAGAATGCCCGCTGGCCATCACAAGTCATAACAAATCAATCCCTGACACAACCCAGCTTGTCTCACTACGTGTGCAATAATATAGTAAGTACCCCCCTTGTCTCGCCACATGTGCTTAACAATGTTCCAACCTTGTCTCGCCACATGCGCAACCCACATATATATATATATATATCCCGCCTTGTTACGCCGCATGTGCAAATATCAATAATAACAATAGCACGGCAGAAATCTCGTGCAACCCCACAACAATAACCGCACGACAGAAACCTCGTGCATCACAATAATAACAACCGCACGGCAGAAACCTCATGCATCACCACAACAAGTACAACAGCATCAATGACAATAATACAAGGGTACAAAAAATAAGTCAACTTAGAAATTCCAGAACTCAAAGAAATGGAGGAACTAATTCACAAGGAGTAGCCACAATAAAGAATGCTAGTCATAATAAGAACAACTCAACAAGAAAGAAAATACTATGTAACAACGGTCCACAATATACAGTTCGACAACGAGGGAGCTAACACAAGTCGAATAATTCCGAATAAGGACAAGTCAACTAAATTATAGGATATCTATGTTCTTTTAAGGTTGGGCAATTAGGAAATAGATACAACAAATTCAATAAGGATAAGCAGCAGAAAGATAATCATAGCCTCAAGTAAGGGTGAACAATTACAGAAGAGATAATTATAACTTCAAACAAAGATAAGCAGCTAGGAAAGGATAACATGGCGATAGAAGAAATAACAATTTCAATTAAGGCACGGATGAATCAAATAAGCAACAAGAGTAGATCATGAAGTAATTAATCCTAATTAAAGCAGGTATAGGTGAAACTAGTAATTAAGAGACGTATTCATAATATAACAACTGCATAATCAGTGAATACAAGGACCTAAGAACCCTAAGAAGCCAATTTTCCACAAATAAGTCTGAGCACGTGCTCGTCACCTCACGTACACGAACTACAATTAGCATAGAAGACTAAAATCCTAAGGGGTAGTTCCCCCACACAAGGTTAGGCAAGATACTTACCTCAAAGCAGACAGACCGATACTCTAAAATGAACTTCTCGGGTGAAATGACCTCCGGACAGCTCAAATCTATCCAAAATAACTTCAAAGCACAAATAAAACTCATAAGAAACTATCCAGATCATAAAGCCTCAATCTTTATCAATGTCCAAAAATCAACCCAAAAGTCGACCCCCGAGCCCGCACCTCGGAACCCGACAAATTTCACAAAACCCGAACACCCATTTCGATACGAGCTCAACCGTACTAAAATTATCAAATTTCTATACCATTTTGTCCTTCAATTCATCATTTTTCATTTTGTTTTTACAATTTTCCCCAAATTTTCCTTTAGATTCTCATGAATGTGATGTTAAATCTAAGAGTTTCAGCTCAATTTTGTAATTATTCAGAAAGAGTTTCAGCTCTTTCTGTTTAAAGGGCTTATTAAGCCCTCTAATGTTCCAAGTACATATGTTCATTAATGGGAAGAGCTGGTTGGCCCAGCATCCCCTAGCTCTTTGTCTATGAGTTGTGTTTGTAAGATTGCAAACCTATTGCTAGAGGCAGTGGCAACAACTATTGAGCTTTGTTGCATTAGGTTGCCATCTTCTGGATTGGCTCTATCAATGATATTCTACTGTGCTTGCCCTGCTCCATTTATCCTTCTATATGATTTCCTTTGATCCTCTGTAATAGCTTTGTTAGTTATGGGCTATGCAGTACCCATATTATGCATTTCCAATTTCTTTTCATGTTGAACTCCAGATGGTTCTGCATCATTTGAAGTAGAGGGAATATGCTCCTTCTGCACCCATTGTAGGGTAATCAGCTTCTTTCTATTCTTGTTCCTTCATCTTCTTCTCGGTTGATCCTTAAATTCCTCCTCATTTTCATGCTTCTCCTTTATCCAGCATTCTATTGTATCATGAACAAACCTAATGCAATCACAACAGAATTTGGGCCTCCAGTCATAGGCAATCTATTGATGTATGACTCCCTTAGGTGTTTGTATTTCAAAACTCTCAGGGAGTGGATGTGATACATTAGTTTTCACCAGCACTCTCGCATAAGAAGCCTTCTCTATTTCTGCAGTTACCCTGTCTGTGTATAGAGGTTTCCCTACTATGTTGGCAAGTTTACTCAATGCTTCTGTGGACCAATACGCTAACGGAAGGCCAGGGAACTTAACCCAGAAAGGAATGATGCTCAAACATTCTGGGTTAAAGTAGAAGTCAATTTTCCAATGCTGCAGAATGAATGGTTTGTTGTGGTAGGTGTAAGGCTCTACATGAAGTACTAGATCTCTATCTTCTATGCTCTGAAATTGGAAGATGTAGTAGCCCTCATCGTGATACAGAATTTTAGGTTTCACTACAAAGTTCCATACATTGGTCACATAGTTATCCATAGATTTCTCATATGGATTATCACCAAGGACATACCCAATTAGGGTATTTTTTAGAGATTCTTCCTAAGCCCTAGTGTCCCCTCCTCTATTTGTACTACAAAAGTGCCATCTCGCATAGCAGGGGAAATATAGGTTAGGGCCTTACCCATTTGGGAGCTTCTATTTTCCTGCACAATCCTTGCTTTTGCTTGTTCCTATTTGTTATCCTCTGTCTTATCCTTCGCAATTGGTGCTATCTGAGTCGAGGTACCTGTTGCCGAGAATTGCAGCCTTCGATGTACCAAGGAATCCTCCATTCTCAGAGGTGCTTTGTTTGATGCCTCTTCATTGTCAATTTCCTCCAGAATAGGTTGAAATTTCTGTGGTAGAAAGCCACCAAAAGTTAGTGGTTGCAGCTTTTGTTGAATTCCTTTGTCCGGGGTGACCTTCAATCCCTCTATCTCCGCCGGTGGTTGATGCTGAACAATCGTAGGTGCACTTCCCATGCCCGTTAACCATCGCCCCACTTGAGATGGGGCAGGTGTTTCCATAGTTTCTTCGTTCCCCTGAGAATTAGGGTTAGGAAGCTTCTTCTGTTGCCTTGTCATGGCGGCTGGCGTACGTTAGCTAACCTCGCTAATCATGCGCCTGTTGACACTTTTAACGTTTCACATTTAATTGTGAATAAATGGAAAAATGAGGAAAACGGCAAAAAAATCAAAAAAGAAAGATAAATGTGAATCCNTATATATATATATATATATATATATATATATATATATATATATATATATATATATATAGAAGATATAGATAGATAGATAGATTGTTAATTATTGTGACTATGGTACTTTTTATGTCCTTTTTAAATATGTAGATTTTATTTCATAATATTTAGAGAATTTATCTATGAATTTTAGTCAAGATTAAGAAGTTTAATTCTAGAAATTCGAATTGTATCACATAACTTGGGATGAATGGAGTATTAAGTTTTTCTTCAACTAGATACGAGGATTGAATGAGCAAGAGTTCCTTATGTATTAAGGATTGTGATTTCTTGTAATTTCATCTTAGGTACAAAAACGAAATCCAACATAAATGGCATGTTCTGCACTAAAACTAAAATGGCACCGCGTCCAATTGGAGTTGCTAAACTATCTTTTTCTTAATACTCGCATTGTAATCCAACTAAATCTTTTTCTCAGTACTCGCACTGTAACCCAACTAATTAGAATTCGTGGCACATAACACCCACTAAAAGAGAAGTGTTCCGTACCTGAATTATATGTGAATAATCTTAGGAACTCAGTTTGTTTCAAATTATTCGGCATGTGTCTTTTTTTTATTTAATTGATATTCTTGGGTATCACTGTAAACTATTAAAAGGAAAATGACAGGAAGGTTTTCTTTTTTGCTTTCATTTACTTGGAGAAGAAAGTCCAGGGGCTGGAATAATTAGTATTAAGAATTCTCATGAGATGAATTATTCTCTTCACTCTAATCCTAGCCATTATTTATTTTCCACTAAAAATACTCAGAAAATATATGTTTTCTGCACCCTAAAAGTATATTTATAAAGACCAATTAATAGATGTTAGAAAATTAAAGTGGTGTTCAGGTGAATATTGTAATGGACCAATTAGCACCTTTCATGGGCAGAGTACTAGTCAATAATGATATTCCTGACACATATTGAATAAAAGAAAAGTAGAATAATTCATGAAAAATAATAAAAAGAAATAAAATGTACGTTGGATACATAGACGAACCTTAAACTTATAAAAAAACTTTTATTTAGCCATTTCTAACTTATGCCATAACTTATTAGCCTCAAGACCTTTGGTTAAAAGAGAACATGCAAAAACAAAATGAGGAGCTCGCGAAACGAAAAACAGTAAAGACTTTAATGTAAACTAGTCAAGGGAGTGGTCAAGATCCCCTTCGAAGGCCCATGGAGTCTCATTCCGAATCTCTGCCTCTTCCTCTGGGGTGAAATCACTAGTGATATTGAATATCTTTCGAACAGCTTCAGGCGTCTTGTTCTTAATCCTATTAGCCACCGCCTCAGCACACAACTCAAGCAAACTATTGATGTCAAGAAAATTTGCGGCTTCTAAGATATTAAGAATGGTTTTTATGCTAATGCTCACAAATTCCTTTTCGAAGTTCTCGATTTCTTCTTCGTTGGAAGAAGTCGAGGACTGCATCTTCATATATTCAATGACCTTGATCAAGGTTTCTGTGTCAACCTTGTTGAGCGGGATGACGTTGGAGGAGCATCCATCCTCGACCATGTTCTTGATTGTTACAGATTGAATGGCGATGGATTCTTCCAACACAAACTCATCGCCATCTGAGGACTTCAGAGTCAAAAAACTTTTCTCAGTGGTCGATGATGCTGCCTCTGCCATTGTTTAAATTTTGGGTCCACGATTATGTGCCTGTTAAACCATTCAAATATATACGAATCAGATGGGTAGGTTCTAATAAATAATTTTAAATATCAAATCAGATTATTATATATCGAATCTAATTAATATCTCTTGTTTTCGAAGGTTATTTAATTCAACTCTAAAGAATTAAATTTCTTCCTAAGTTTCATTTTGTAGGCAATCTAGCTTCAAATAAGATTTTTTAAAAGATATTTATTAGTTACTTCAAATATAGCTTTATATCATGTGAATGTGACTTAGTAGCAGATTATTTTTTAATATATATTTTAATCTGAATTTATGATTGATTCTAATTAGTGAAATTATAAGATTTTTAACTAAAGAGGACCATTGACTTGCATAATATCTCTTGATATTTTTATTTTAGCTATTCAATAAAAAAATTACTTCCTAAATACCAGTTCTTATATAGTATTTATCTGGATACGGCGTTTAAATATCACTAGAAGACTGGATTTACTTGTTACCCTTTATAAGCAAGCTTGATTTTTTTTATAAAATAAATTGACTAATGTTGTATGTTAATGATCGTTGTGGAGGAAAATATTATAGCAATTATAAACTTAGCTTCATACTGTAAACATTATAGTCTTTTCGCATATAATGGTGTTTGACTAGATATGAAATTTAAGGAAAAAATGATTATTGAGACGTATAAAAGTGTAATGACCCAATCAGTCGTTTTGAGTTTCGGCAATCTGTTCAGTGGTTCGGGTCTTGAATGACTTCATATTGTGTAATATGACTTTTGTACATGGTCGGATTTGATTTTCGGATGATTCAGAATGAATTTGGATTAGTTATTCTCACTTTAGAAGCTTAATTTGAAAATATTGATCGAGGTTTAACTTTTGTGAAAATGACCCCGCAGAGGTATTTTAATGGCTCCGATAGGTTTGTATCATGATTTTGGACTTGGGTGTATACCCTGAATCGAATTTGGAGGTCCGTAGGTTGATTTGTGTTGTTTTCCAAAAGTTGGCAATTTAAAGACTTAGATTTTTTATAAGTTTGACCGTAAATTGACTTCATAGCTATCATATTTGGATTTTTATTTCGGGACATAGAATAAGTCCGTTTTGTCATTTTAAACTCGTCCGCAAAGTTTGGCGTCATTCCGAGTTGATTTGATAGGAATTGGACGCGCGATTGTGTTTTTAGAAGTTCTTGAATTTCATGTTGATTTCATGTGTTTTGGAGGTCCAATTCATGGTTTCAGATGCTATTTTGATGATTTAATTGCTCAAACGAGTTCGTATTTGTCACGACCCAAACTCAACATGTCGTGATGGTGCCTATCACAGAAATAGGCAAGCCGACAACCACAAATACTACGCATTTTTACATTTAAAACATGACGAGATAAGCTTAACAATGAAAAATCTCATAAATAACCGATAAGAAATACCACGTCTCAATACAAACTCCCCTAAAATTCGGGTATCATTGATTACATGAGCAACTAAATGACAATACAGTCAAAACTTCTAAAATAACTGTCTGAAGAGATAGAACAGTGTTAAATAAACTGAAAAGAAGGAGAGTCAAGGTATGCGGACGCCAAAGCAGCTACCTCAAAAGCCTCCTAGTAGGGTATGCTCTAAGTCTAGCAACCACAGGGTCAAGATGCACCTGGATCTGCACACGAAGTGCAGAGTGTAGTATGAGTACAATCGACTCAATGTACTCAATAAATAATACGACTAACCTTGAGCTGAAAGCAGCGGGGAGCTCAGAAAAGTACAGTCCAAAGTCAAATAATAACAATATAGATATAACAGGAAAAATGACAGTAATAACTCCGAGAAATCTCATAATTAGTTTGTACATAGTACGGAAATGTAGACATGCTTTCAAGTTCAACAGTTTAAGCTCAATACTGATAAAATATGTCAAGTATAACTAGCATGAGGAATGATACATCTCTATGTCTACATGTCAAATATGCATGTCACCAGTAATGCAACAAGGTGATAAACTCGTATACTCATGCTCTCGGAGTATTCAACCTTTGTCAGCACGCTCAATCACTCGGCACTTGCACTCAACACTCAACCATACCTGCACTCACTGCTGGTATGTCAGACTCCGGAGGGGCGGATCCTGCCCAAGCGCTAATATAAGTGAACATGGCATGTTGCGGCGTGCAGCCCAATCCCATAAATATCACTCACAATCAGGCCCTCGTACTCACTCAGTCATCAATCTCTCCAGTCTCTCGGACACACAAAACTCATACCAATCAGCCAAAACAAGGATACATGATGTAACAATAAGTGATACCAGAGACTGAGATATAATATGCAAATTATGAATGGAACTACGTAAATAACTGCAATTTAAGCAAATAACTCAACAACATGAACGACCTCTGTGGGTCCAAACAGTACCAACATATAGTCTAAACATGATTTCTAATATGGATCACAACTCAAATTCTCTAACACATGGAGATTACATGAATAACAGAAAGATTGGGTAACTACATAGTTCCACGAAATCATCTGAGCCATAATTTCTACGGTGCACGCCCACACGCCCGTCACCTAGCATGTGTGTCACCCCAACATCAACTACACAAGCACGTAGTTTAGGGATTCATAACCTCAGTATCAAGTTTTGAGGTGTTACCTCAGACCGTACAAATCCCTACTTTAACAAGCGTTTTCCTCGCAAATCGGCCTCCGAACGACTCAAATCTAGCCACAAACAACTTAATACAATCCTATAGGAATCAAATCCATTCGGTAAAGCTAAGTCCTTTTAACAAACGTCAAAAAGTCAACCCAGGGACCACGTCTTGGAATCCAACAAAAATTAAAAAATTCGAACACCCATTCAACAACGAGTCCAGCCATACCAAAATCATCCAATTCCAACCACAAAAAAGCCTTTCAAATCCCCAAAATCCGGTCTATGAAGTTTAACAAAATTTCCCCAAATTTTCCAACTCAATACACTAATTAAATGGAAGAAACAATGACAGATTCATTTATATCAACCAAATCCAACTTATAATCACTTGCCTCAATCAACTCCTTGAAAATCCCTTAAAGAATCCCCAAAGTCCGAGGTCTCTAGCTCAAAAATATGAAAAATGGGTTCAAACCCTCGATTTCGAAATAAATCACTGCTGCCAAGGTGCCCTTCTTTCTGAACGCGGTAAGTGCCTCGTGTTCGCGAAGCACAAAATACTCAGCTTCCAAAATTCCTCTTACGCGAACGCGAGGGCCCCCTCATGAATGCGATGAACACAGAACTAAGTCCTATGCGAATGCGGCCCCCCTCTCACGAACGCGAAAGCTTACCAGCCTGGTGCCCTACTTGCCTCATCCTGCTACGCGAACGCGATCACCCTCTCGCGATCTTAATTAACAAGCTCCCTAAACCTTCGCGAACACGTTACCTTCTTCACGAACGCGAAGAAGAAACATCACCTGCCTCCCAGATACCCTTTGCATATGCGAGACCTCTCTCGCGAACGTGAATAATGAAACCAGACATCACAATTTCTGCAGTTCAACAAGCCCAAATTCAATTCGTACTCAATCTGAATCTCACCCAAACTCCCTGGGACCCCATCCAAACATACCAATACATCCTAAAACATCATACAAACTTAGTCTAAGCCTCAAATCACATCAAACAACATCAAAACATGAATCTCACCTGAATTCAAGCCTAATGAAACTAATAGATTTCCAACTTCTACAATTGATGCCGAAACCTATCAAACCAACGCCGATTGACCTCAAATTTTGCACACAAGTTATAAATAACATAAAGGACCTATTCTAATTTCCGGAACCAAAATCCGAGCCTGGAACCAACCAAGTCAACTCTCGCTCAAACTTTTCAACTTTACAAACCTTCAATTTTTCCAACTTTTGCCAATTCAAGCCAAAAGACCTACGCGCCTCCAAATCAAAATCCGGACACACTCCCAAGTCCAAAATCACCGTACGGAGCTATCGGAACTTTCTTACAGTTCAAGCACTGAGCTACAAACTCCACTATGTATTTCTTCATTTTCCTCCACCAATAGTGCTGCCTCAAGTCCTGATACATCTTCGCGGCACCCGGATGGATGGAACACCGCAAACTGTGGTCCTCCTAAAGAATCAACTCACATAACCCATTCACATTGGGCACACAAATCCGCCCCTGCATCCGCAACACCCCATCATCTCCAATAGAAACCTCCTTGGAATCACCATGCTGAACTGTGTCCTTAAGGACAAGCAAATGGGGATCATCATACTGACGCTCTCTGATGCGATCATATAAATAAAATTGAGAAACCACACAAGCTAGAACCAGACTAGGCTCTGAAATATCTAACCTCACAAACTGATTGGCCAAGGCTATAAATCTGATGTACGTGGTCTCTCACCAACAGGAATATATGGAAGGCTACCCATGCTCACCACCTTCGTACTCAAGGCGTCGACCACCACATTGGCCTTCCCGTAATGATATAAAACGGTAATATCATAGTCTTTTAATAGCTCCAACCATCTCTGCTGCCTCAAATTTATATCCTTTTGCTTGAACAAGTGTTGGAGACTCCGATGATATGTAAATACCTCACAAGACATGTCGTATAGATAGTGCCTCCAAATCTTCAATGCATGAACGATGGCTGCCAACTCCAAATCATAAATAGGGTAGTTCTTCATATAAGGCTTCAACTGGCGTGAAGCATAAGCAATCACTTTACCCTCCTACATCAAGACACACCCAATACCTATCCGAGAAGCGTCACAATACACTGTATAAGAACCCGATGCAGAAGGCAAAACTAGAATTGGAGTTGTGGTCATGGAAATCTAGAGCTTCTGAATGCTCTCCTCACACTCATCCGACCACTTGAATGGAGCACCCTTCTGGGTCAACCTAGCTAAAGGCACAACAATGGACGAGAAACTTCCACGAAGCGACAATAATATCCAGCCAAG